CGTCTCTTGTACGGTCGCAGGGTTCTTATCGTGGGCGGATGAGGGCGTAGTAATGGAGGTGGACTTCATTGGGCATGCTGGGATCTCAGTGGAGTTTTATCTAGGGCAGATGGCATATTTTTTTATGTTTTTTCTTCACTATCGAGTTACTCAGCACTTTTGTCCTTTATATCCGAACTCCTAATCTACTATCTGCGATGGCAACTGGTCGCGGGTTTTGCCTTCAAACCGACTTCGGGAACACCCAGTGCGTAAGTGCTTTTTATCCTCCCAGACGGATCTGGTACCAATTCACTGCTCTATGAGGGAGTGTAGCAGGTTTGGCTGACCCGCACAGAAGCCGATCCAGAATATGGACCGCGGGCCACTCGCCACGGTATCACCTTCATTTCAGCATAGATATAAATATAAATTTCGCTTCGTCTGTTTGTTTGTAAGTTTGTTTGTAAGTTTGTTTGTAAGTTTGTTTGTAAGTTTGTTTGTAAGTTTGTTTGTAAGTTTGTTTGTCTGTCCGGAAATTCGGTTCGACCTGAAGAACGACTTGGAGAGGTCGGGTCAAGGTGGGGATGGGTAGGCATGGGACAACGAAACAAAAAGCACACTTGACCTATGCGAAGCCCCGCCCACTGTGGGCGGGGCACTCACTGAAATTTTGGGTTTCACAGAAAAATGTTCATAATTCGCTTCCGGAGCAGCCTAAGATGGTGAAACAAGGGAATAAAGTTAGTAAGGAGTCGCCAGACTAACTGTGGCAGACACATCCAAAATGGGCGGGGCGTACTCAAGGTGGGCGGTGCTTCGCATAAAACTCAGTAACTCGGTTCGCGAGAGTGTTCAGAAGCCGCAAAAAGCTCAGTGTTAGAAATGTAAATATCTGGAGTATTGGGCATGCCCAAAGTGTGTTGAGATCCGCCCACAGTGGGCGGAGCTTGCCCTAAACCGCAGGATACTCACTTTAAAGTTTGTAGCTCGGTTCCAGAGCACTGCAAAGACCGGAAAAACGTGCGTCAAGGTCGGCAAAGGTTCGCCGGTGAGGACTGTGAGGCAAAAACATTGTGGGCGGAGCCTGCTCCGAGGTGGGCGGAACCAGACAAAATGGTCTGTAAAACGGTTCCAGAGCTCTCCGAAGACCGGAAAAAAAACTTGAATTAAGGTCAGCAGAGGGTCGCCGGTGAGGAAAATTGGGCGGGGCCAGCCCGAGGTGGGCGGAGCCAGACAAAAACTCTGCAGAACGGTTCCAGAACACATCAGACACCGGAAAAAAGTGGATTAAGGTCAGCAGGGGGTCGCCTGTGAAGAGTGCGGGACACAAAAATTGAGGGCGGGTCTGCTCTGAGGTGGGCGGAGTCAGACGAAGAATTTGTAAAACAGCTCAAGAGTACTTCAGACACCGGAGTAAAGTAGAGTACAGAACAAAAGGCGGATATCAGTTGAGTCTAGAAATATGTGAGAGAAGGTACGCGCGGCGAAGCCGCGCCCCGACGGCAGCAGCCGGGCCGTAATCGAAGGATCCGCGCCGGCGTCAAGCCGGCGAGAGACGTGGTCTTTGATATTGTTTTTTTTTTTGAACTTCTTAAGAATAAGGGTTTCACGACGAAATACCCATTTTGAGTTTCTTCTGCTCCTCCTTTCTTCCTTTTGTTGACTTCTGTTTTTGACTTCTTTTTGGAGGCACCCTGTAAGAGGCATTGGTCGCTGCCTTCGTAGGTGGAGTAAAGGGTTTGGTTGCTCTGGGCGGGGCCGATCCGGGATTTGAGTTACGGACCGCCGCCGTGGTAAGCGTGCCACTTGCTACTGCACTACCTCTTCCTCAATCAAGTAATAAATGGGAATTACTTAAACGACACCAAGCGCAGCTATCTATCCAGGTTTATATTCTGATTACATTTGGTTTATTTTTTCATTTATATGGCAGTTTCTGACCTGCGTACTCTTGTAGTGCGCATTAGATAAATAGACAGACGAAAGACTTGATAATTCAGAAGATTCTGAAGACTCCCTGTGCCTGTATGTCGTTATTTTCCGTGCACAAGTGTAATGTTTTTGTTGTCCCAGCTGACCCAACAGTTTTCAGAAGATCCCGCAGATGATATCATCGGAACGCGTCTCGGTGTTGCAGCTGGTTATCGGCTTCTTCGGATTTATGAATGCTTTTGTGGCATCTTTGCAAAATGCGGAAAAATCATCACTTTTGGATCTTTACATCAATACCCACTGGATCACCACCATTGTGGTCTTTGCAGGCGCATCCCGGTTACTTATGATTGTGAGTTGCTCAGCTTCTCCCATGGATTGTTCCAACTCAAAGACTGCATTTCAGAGTTCATGGGCATCCGAGATCTTCTCCCTGATGCTGCAGTTGCTCTGCTTTTGTGTTGTCGTTAATGCGATGGTGGCTGATTTCTGGAATCTTCGCATTTTGTCGGCTTTGAACGGTACCATGGTGCCTGCTGCAACAACGGTTTGTTTTTAGAACGGACTTCTTCATAAAATAAGCCCATGCTCACAGTCTGCTGACTAGCCCTTGTGATCAGAGATGAGATCGTTGAAGAACTGCCTCGTCCTCAAAGATTCACAAGCCCGCTCCGAAGATAATAGTGTGTGGGTGCTAGGTCTGGATTTGTAGATGCCAAGCAACTAAGGCACATCCTGCATTTATGGGAAATTTCTGTAAGACACCTTCTCAGAAATTTCCCCCTCTGGTCCGTCCGATCCCTCTTCCCGTCTTACTACAGTCTTTCTGGGTCCTTAACGAGTTCTACCATTTTCCAAATTTTTTCCCAAACTCCCCCACTTTTTCGTCAAAAGGCACAGGAGATTATCTAGTGGGAACTGAGAAAAGGTCAACAGCCGAAAACATTTCTCTCGAACGTAAAAAAAACCTCGCTTCTTCACTCCAGCAACCCGTAGGCCTCCCCCCCCGCGCCGCTAAGGCCCCCACGTAAGAAGTGCCTGCCCTGCAAGCGATTCTCCAGACTTAAAGGCAGCGTCCGCGATCAACCAAAGTGAAAAACCCTCCATTGAAAACGAACGCGGAGTCCGCAATCACAGCAGAAATCCCACTCTTGCGGCTCGAAATCGATTGGTTGACGAGGGCGGAGTCAACAGAGCCGGGCTGACGCCTCCTGTCCTGTTAATCCCGCCCCGACTGGTTGACAGTTATCAATGCTTGCTGGCATTGATATACGCTGAATTTCTAGAGTTTCCGAGGCGGCGACGTGTATTGGAGAACTCACCAGAAGTTTGCGAAACTCGTCCACATGCCTTAAATTTCATAGGGTCTTATTTCACGCTCTTCCACACCTTTTTCCTGCTTTTTTGATTAGTGCTTCATTGGCCACCTGTTCTAGCAAATGTGACCCCTGAAACCTGCCAAAGTCCATCGCGGGCGCTGTCTTTAAGAAACCCCAGGTTTCAATAACGCTCAAGAAGTTGTCGAGGACATCCTGAAGTCGAAGCCGTACTTTTTAGTGAATTTCAAGCAGTATAGGAGCTTACTGTGAGAAAGCACATTGTGCTCGGAAGAGAGACCAGACGACGAAAGGCGAGATAGTACCCAGTTGAGACACACCGCTATTCTCAGTGGGGCATATACAGTTGGCTTGGTTGGTCTTGTGGGGGCGTGGACATGCCTACGCACACAGCGCGCTTGTCATTGACTTTTGAGTCGCAGTTGAAGTATAGTAATCATCATTACGGACTGTCGGGGCGGCACAGCCGCGCTGCAATGTGACGCGACAGCGGCTGCGCCCGGTTGGCGAATCAGCTGATTTCATGGAATTCGGCTGCGAATTCCCACTTTTTCAACTCTTGAGCTTCGAAAGTGGAAGTGAGTTATTTTGAACAATTTTAAATTGTACTGACTCTGAATGAATCTGAAAGAATGTAAGCCATTTGAATAAATGCCTGAAATAAGGCAAAATACAAGGAAAAGAGCATAATAATCGACATAAAAATAAAGGAAATCAGAGCCAGTACAATTCAAAATTGTTCAGAATAACTCACCTTCCAATTAGAAGCTTGAAGAGCTGAAAAAGTGGGAATTTGCAGCCGAATTCCATCGAAATCAGCTGATTCACCGTCACCGAGCCGCAGCCGCTGTCGCGTCACAGTGCAGCGCGGCTCAGCCGCCCCGACAGTCCGCAAGTGATGAGGACTGTACACCGGACCCAGTTACTCAATTTAGGGACGATTCTTATAAAGGTTTATACTCCTGTCACAAAGTAAGTTTGAATAGCCTAATGAAAATCTGGCCTAAGCTGGGACTGTAGTCCAAAAAAACTACCAGAGCTTCACATCAACTCCTAACAACTTCGTCAGAAGTAGAGGACCTGCACAGAGAATTCTCCACTAAACTGAGACCAGCTTTCAGATCTCATATCTAAAACTGTATAACAGTATGGATGCTCTATTATGTGTGATTGCAGTCTTGCTCTCCTCATATATTATTTATCAGCATTTTTATTTATCTGCTGCCAGCTCCTATAGTCAGGTATCCCTTTTTTCAAGGCCTGATCCTTTATAAGAACAAGCCATAATGAGGGAATCTGTTTGCAAAAGAATAATGTGTATGCTTCAGACGCCTTCAGTGAAGCTTCTTGGCATGGGAACGGCATTGGTTGTGCTTGGCGTGATTCGTTTTGCCTGTTATTTCTGCGAGTTTTTCAAATTAGCTGGACAGGATCGTCTACGGGCCCTATTTGCCAACTACACACTTGACGAACCGGCCTGGATCTGTGTTCAGTTAACTTTAGGTAATCTAATTGTCAAGTGCTTCGAGAGAAAAATGGGCGGAGACAGCCAACCTTTGTGCCTTCCTCTTTTTGACGGTTCAGAGGGATACACCAATGAGAAAAGCAGAGTTACAGAGTCTCCGCCCACAATCAGCGTGGACTGCACCTTTAATCGTCCGCTTTCAGGTGTGCTCTGCGTTCTGTCTTCGAGGGGCAGCAAACTTTTACGAGCTCTCACGCTGGCGCTAGCCGCTTCCACTCTGATGCCATCAGTCTTCTACCTCTGGCTCGATTACAGGTGCTCTTGCAGACCATGTCTATTGCTCGGATGAACTTAAGTGGTCTCCTAGTTATGACTGTGAATGCTTGGAAAAAGTTTCGTTGCAGGTGGTGGGCATCATCGCGACTTTCATTCGGGGTGCTCTCGAAATCATCAGCTTACTGGCAAGCGTCTGGAGTAGCGATCTCCCTATGTAATGTCGGTGTGGTGACAGCAACGCTTGTTCAACTCCTGTCTATGGTACAAATCGTTCAACCTTCTGAGCACCTGTACAGCCTAGTCCATGCTGGTTGAAGGGGCGGGGTCAAGCCTACCATCGTATCTTAATCATTGACGCACTCATCTCTTGACTATAGGAGAAAAGGCAGTAGCATCAATGCGAAAGGCACAATTCTAGGTCTGGTCCCGCCCACACGACCAGCACAGACTAAGCCTTTAACCTTACGGACGTCTTGTCGACATTCAAGCTATTTTTTAGCACTCGACAAACCGACGAGTGTCACTGGATGAGAAGACAAACCGATTTTTTATGATAATAGCGGCCATATTCCTGGTGCTTTCTTGCAGTACAATATCCCTTGACGTCTACACGATATGGAAAAAGCTATTCTACAGGTAAGTCAACTGAAAGGAAGGTAACCGCTCGGTATTCTCTATCGAGGGTTTCAGGCTTTTCCATGGAGCTGAACAAAAAACTCCTTTCCTGACCGCTCTCACTGCCATCTTTGCGATGGCCGCTTCGACATCAAAATTCGCTCCTATTGCTGTTCCCGCATGGTGAGAGTTTCACTACGTTTTTTCCACATTCTCGCTATATCCGACCAGTTTTTTGATCTATTTATTGATCCGAAAACCTTAGAAACTTTAGCGCATTGTTCACGGAAACCTGTTAGCGGTTACTGAGAGGTATGGCTCAATTTATTCCACGAAAGAGCGTGTTTGAACGATCTTCCAAGGATTCTTCCAATCACAGGCTAATCCGCTGTACCGGGGATAAACGTTCCGCTGCCGACGCTGTTCAGTTCAGTGGGGGCACCAAATGGCACTTAGCGAAGCCTGAACAGGCCATATCGTGAGGGTCTGTGAATTATTGTAACCAATGTTTCTCCCTTGTACCATTGCGCACCTTTAGGAGAGTTTACAAGTCTTACCAAAATGAACCTATTAGTTAACATGACCTAGCAAAAATAAGTGGCAAAAGTGCAAATGGCCCCTTCCATGCCGAACAGCGCCTGAACTTCTACTTGCACCTGCTTTTTTGGGGCAAATTCCGCGACTAAATATCACGGGGGGGGAGGAGGTCCAAATATAAAATTGCAGATGGATAAAGCAGCCGAAGCCGTCTGAAAACCCCTAAATGAACCGAAGTTGGAGGCCACATGAAGAAGCGAGACATTTCTGCGCGTGTGGGAGGATTGAGGCAAAGTTTGAGATAATGGTGCCTTCAATCAAGGAAGACAGCAGAAAAACTCGGCTGGAAGGTATGCGTGGGCCAATCTTGCTATCAACTGCTCCCCATGCTCTAATTGTAAGTCCGTTGGTCAAGGCAACCTTTGCCATTTGTGCTGTTTTCATCTGAGCGCTACCCAGCTAGGGGAAATGACCTCTTGACTCTGTCGCGTGCCCATTCTTGGGC